AAATATCTGGGGTGCCTGCGTGACTCAGTCGGTTGAGCGACCAACTTCGGCTCAGGTCATGATCTCACAGTTTGTGAGTTGGAGCCCCACGTCGGGCTCTGTGGTGACAGCTCGGAGCCTGGAGCCTGCTTGTGATTCTGTGTCTCCCTCTCTCTCTGCCCCTCCCTCACTCATGCTCTGTCTCTCTCTGTCTCAGAAATAAATAAACATTAAAAAATTTTAAAAAAAGGAAGAATTCCTAAAGAAATTTAATATTATTAACAGCTGATTGCAATCGCATCAGTATCGTGAGAACTGCTTTGCGCTCTACACACCCTGACTAAAGAATCATGATGATTTACCCTGGAAAACGCACAAGTACAGTGGAAGGATTTGAGAAACGAACTGCATGACTATCCCCCAAAAATATAGAGTACAGATTAGTAGTATATTAGTTTTCTATTTCTGTGTAATAAATGACCCCAAAGCATAATAGTTTAAAACATCCATGCACATTTAGTATCGCGTACAGTATAGATATATCATAAATCCAATAACAGCTTGGCTTAGTAGCTCATAGAGTCAGAGTCAAATCGTGGTGGAGGCAAGTTCAGGAAGACTCGCCTGGGGCCGGAGGACCTCTTTGCAAGCTGGCTCGCTCACATGGGTGGCAGACAGCTGGCTGTTGGCACATGGGTGCTGCCCAAAGGCACTTCCATGTCTTTATGGCACGGTGGTTCACGCCCCCCAGGACAAGGAATCAAAAAAAGGAGCAGAGCAAGAGCTTCCATGGCCTTTATGACCTAGCCGTGATGTCACGCACCATTATCTCCATCGTAATCTGTGAATCACATGCGCCAGCCCTGACTCAGTGTGAAGATAGACGATGTAAGAAAGTGACTACCGTGAGGATTATTGGGGGCCATCTTGGAAAGGACATATTATAGAAATAAGGGAAATACGATTGGGAAAAGAGCAGTCCTTCCCCTTTAGGTAATAAGAGATGAATGCTATCTTAAGACTGGCACACTGAGGGGGGTCTGGGTGATTCAGTTGGTTAAGCGTTAGACTTCCGCTCAGGTCATGATCTCACAGTGCATGAATTTGAGCCCCCACATCTGGCTCTGTCATCAGCGCAGAACCCGCTTCAGATCCTCTGTCCTCCCCCTCTTTCTGCCTCTCTCTCTCTCTCTCTCAAAAATAAACATTAAAAAAAAAAAAAGACTGGCATATTGAAACTGTTGGGCGAGTAGAGAAAGAACTGTAAAGAAAGGGTCTCAGGAACCTAGGACCTAGATAGAAGAGAAAGGATAATGGCTCTCCGTGGATCCTAGCTCCTTAGGAAATATTTAGGAAGGTAGAATGGGCGGGAGAAAGAGCGGAATGCCTGGCAGTAGGATTTATACTAGATTCTTCCTCAGAGCTTCGATCCCAAACGGCTCCTTCTCATTTCCTCGAGATGCTTCCTTTAGGTCACTACACTGATTTCACCAGAATACGGAGGGATCCTAGGGCTCAAGAAAGAAAGTATTTAATAGTAAAACTTGTGAACTAATGGGAAGCCTGGGGGGCTCCGTCAATTAGGCATCCGACTCTTGATCTCAGCTCAGCTCACGATGTCACGGTTCGTGAGTCCGAGCCCCGCATCGGGATTGGGATTCTGTCTCTCCCTCTGCCTGCTTCCTTCTCTCCAAATAAATAAATAAACTTAAAAAAAAAAAAAAAAAAAAAAAAAAAAAAAAAAAGGCATAAACCAGTAAACCTCATGCCGGTAAAGCTCCTGAACCCATCTTCACGGATATGGCAGAGAATGAAGAATGACAGGGCTGGCACCATATGACTGCTCTGATACAGGGTCTGTGCTGTTACCTAGCTGGACCGTCTGTAAGCACGAATCCCACCCACACCACCAGGGCTACCATTGCATGAAGCCAGGCAGGGGAGAAACTAATTACGGTTGAACATTTGACATGCGCTGGGCACCAGGCTAGGTGTTTTCTACAGTGTTTAATATAATTCTCTGCATTTCACAAAGGTGAAACTGAGGCTCAGGGTAGTCCAAGGGGTCAGGGTCTGCTAATTGTTTCCCCAAGGACCAGTTTTCATCCTTCCTTTTCATACTAGAACCTTCGTGGTTTCAGCTAGGCACATAGCTGGCCAGATAGAGTCTATGATTCTCGACCTCTCCTCCACCCCGGTAATAGCCAAGTCAGTCAATAATAGTCCATGGAAGGTGATTAGAATAGAAGTATGTAACTTACAGGTCAGGCCTTTTTAAGGAGTGCCTCCCGCTGACATATTTCCCCCATTCCCAACAGGCAGGAACATAGATGTAGTGATGGGGCACCCAGGTGGCTCATTCGGTTAAGTGGCCAATTGGGGCTCAGGTCATGATCTCACTGTTCATGAGTTCAAGCCCCGCGTCGGTCTCTGTGCTGACAGCTCAGAGCCTGGAGCCTGCTTCAGATTCTGTGTCTCCTCTTGTCTCTGCTCCTTCCTCACTCATGCTCTGTCTCTGTCTCTCTCTCAACAATAAATAAACATTTAAAAAATTAAAAAAAAACATAGACGTAGTGCTGAGTCAACTTCCACCCTGCAGATAAGACCACAACTTTATGGCATTGCAAACCCCAAGTTCTCAGATGGCCACATGAAGCTATTAGCTTGGACTGCCAGCCATCTTGAAGTTTTAAGTGAGAAAGAACTAAAGTAATATATTTTATTTACGCCATCGTTCTCTTGATCTCTATTAAAGCAATTAAACCAGTATTCTAACCAACACGTGAACGTGTCAGAGATCGACCAGCAGTAAGTGGCAGATCAGAGACATTTCCGCTTTCAAACTTCTACTCCATCACTTGCCATGCACTTTCACAAGGAAGATGTCCTTGTTAAGGAGAATGTTAACTTTTTTTTCTTAAGTAATCTCCACGCCCACCATGGGGATTGAACTCATGACCCTGCGATCAAGAGTCCCATGCTTTGCTGACACAACCAGCCGGGCACCCCAGAAGAATGTCACTTTTTCTCTCAATGCTCTTGTGTATTCTAAGAGCTCAATACAAATTTGAAAATGAGTGAGTCCATTCGGACAACTTTATGCCCTTATTTAGTGAAGAACCAAAATTATGTCTCCTTCAATGTTGAGCACAATCTACCTCCATTATGATGAAGTTACACTTTTTAGAATTTGGGCTCTGTTTATGTTCTGTTTTGGGGTTCTGACTCATTTTTCTTTGGAACAGAAGTCTATTTGAAGGATGTTAAATTTACTGATTGTTTTTTCAAGTGCAGTGTTCTCTGGGCACATTTTTCCTGTAGCTTATACAGATGCCTACCATCCTGCCATTTTTATATAGCTCTTCCTATTCGTACTAAAAATAAGAACATGTACAGCTAGTATTAAGCCAATACCTCCTGGTGTGGTCATACCTGTTGGTAATAAAATATTGAAATAGTTCCATATTCCTTGGTGAACAGCCAACACCCTATGACCTCTGAGGTTTCCCAGCTGCTCTCACATCTATGCTCCCTCTTGCAGCGTCCCTGGTGGTCCCAGCACTCAGAAACCAATAGGCAGCCTCCAGCTCTGTGATGAGTCCTTCTGGATTAATTGCTGCCTATATCCTAAGGTCATTAAGTATTTTTAACGTCACTTCCGGACGCATGTCCAGTCTATGGCTTGCAAAGTAACTTTTTAATTTTTTTAATGTTTATTATTTTTGACAGAGAGAGAGAGAGAGTGAGAGACAGAGGGCCAGTGGGGGAGGGGCAGAGAGAGAGGGAGACACAGAATCTGAAGCAGGTTCCAGGCTCTGGGCTGTCAGCACAGACCCCAACGTGAGGCGCAAACTCACAGAACATGAGATTGCGACCTGAGCCAATGTCAGATGCTCAACCAACTGAGCCACGCAGGCACCCCGACAAAGTAACTTTATGATAGTTTCTAAAGCTCTTCATTTCAACAATGCCTTTGAGAAACCAACAGCATGAAGATACTATTCTGCTGATAGTTTTATGTCTTCTCAAAGACTTTATGTATATTTCCATAATTCAAAGCATACATTTGCAGCATTCTTCCAAGGCCTTCCCACCAAATCCCCACTTACCCTACTACACACACACACACACGCGCGCGCAATCATTAAGCTAACATAAAACGGCACTATAGGGAAATTAATTAAACATAATTCAATTTTACTCAAAACTACTCTGTACTTTAACCAATTTTCCCAAGTAATTCTATGTTCCCAAAATGAAAAGTATCCTGTTCACTTACACTGTCAAATTACGTCCTCTAAAGCTGGGGTCCACACATCACATAACGCCTCACTTGTGCTGGTAATCATGGAGCAAAGCCCCATTTAAGTAAAATAAAATGAATCTCCTTTCCATTTTCTGACAGTCACAGCATACTGTATGTAGCTTTTATTGTAAGCGACAGTAATGGCACTTGAAAAATATATTAGGGAGTGTTTGATATAAGACATTTAGTATCGTGTCTGATATGTTATCAACACAATGAATATTAGCAATGATTATTCTTGTTATTTATTATGATTATTAGTATTATATATCTCAACTGCAAATCTTATCCTATTGTCGTCCCTTGCTTAAGAACCTGTGTGACTGACTCCCCATCGCTTTTCTTTTCTTTTTTGTTTAAGTTTATTTATTTATTTCAAGAGAGAGAGAAGGTGGGGGGAGGAGCCGAGAGAGAGAGAAAGAGAGAAAGAGAGAGAACCACGAGAGGGAGAACCCGATATGGGGCCTGATCCCACAAATGGTGAGATCATGACCTGAGCTGAAATCAAGGGTCGATGCTTAAACTGACTGAGCCACCCAGGCGCCTCTCCCCATTGCTTTTCTTAACACGGTGTAGTAGGTTTGGTGGCCAGGCTTTCGGCTTCCTTTTCAGCCCTCGTCTCTCAAAACTCATACCATTAAGTCCCCTAACCGGACCCTGTCTCTCTGATCACTGGGCTTTTGCACATACTGTTCCCTTTGCCTGAACACTTTACCTGGGTAATTCTTGTCCCTTCATAAGGTCTCAGTGTAGATGATGCTTCTTCCTTGCAGGTCTGGGTTAGATGCCTCATGTCTACGCTTTCACAGCAGCCTGGGCCTCATGACACTGCTTTGCCACGTGGTGATTTGCCCATCTCCCAGATCACAAGCTTTGTGAACATGAGGAAATGATCAGTCCCTTCTCCCTCCTGTATCCCCATAGACTGTGTTAATGCAGCAATTGTTGAATAAATCAATGTTTGAAGAGGAATGTGGGCTTCTCTCATAATAAGAATAAACCCTTTCACTCTGAGGCAATTCATCGCATATATCTAAAGAGACTGAAAACAAAACAGAAATCTATATTTACATTTAATTACCATGTGTAAATAAGTTAATATCCCTCTTACATTTTAGATAGCAGCTTATGTTTTCATTTCATAGCCAATAAAATGGGGTAAGAATATTTACTCAATTTTTTTTTGAGAAAGAGGTGCAAGTGAGCGAGGGGCAGAGAGAGAGAGAGAGAGAGAGAGTGAGAGAGGGAGAGAAGCAGGGCTCACCCAATGCAGGACTCACACTCATGAACCATGAGATCATGACCTGAGTCAAAGTCAGATGCTTAACTGAGCGACTCAGCCAAGTAGGCACCCAATATTTACTCAGTTGTATTGAACTTGAAGGAGCAAGGGAGATTAAAAGTATTTTTAATTATCAACTATTAATTTTTAGTAGTAGGCTAATAGGCATTTTGTTATATAAATCTTATGTCCTTTCTCCATTAAACATATCTTCAGTAAATGTTTTTGAGACTAAAAAGTACCCAGAATATGACTGAATTATATATATTTTTTTTTAATTTTTTTTTCAACGTTTATTTATTTTTGGGACAGAGAGAGACAGAGCATGAGCGGGGGAGGGACAGAGAGAGAGGGAGACACAGAATCGGAAACAGGTTCCAGGCTCTGAGCCATCAGCCCAGAGCCCGACGCGGGGCTCGAACTCACGGACCGCAAGATTGTGACCTGGCTGAAGTCGGACGCTTAACCGACTGCGCCACCCAGGCGCCCCATGACTGAATTATATTTTTAAAAAATATAATCTGTATTTAATTTACCTCTTTCCTAAATCTCATGATTATAGTGTCCTTAATTAATTTTGCTGTATGGTATTTTTTTTTAATCCAAGGAATATATAATCAAATCTGTCTTGTCATAGGATACAGACAAATATTCATATGTACTTTTAGAAGTAATAGGGACAGATGAATGTTAAAACTTAAAGTAAATACAAATAACTAGTAAAATTATATCATATTTAATTAGGAATTAAATGCAATTAGGAATCTTTTTTGAATTAGCTTATACAGGCCATACATACGTGGTTATATTTCTACTCTTTTTTTTTTTAATTTTTTAAGTTTATTTATTTATTTTGAGAGAGAAAGAGTGACAGCAAGCAGGGAGGGACAGAGAGAGGAGAGAGAGAGGGAATGGATCCCAAGCAGGCTCCACACTGTCAGCACAGAGCCAGATGTGGGGCTTGAACCCACGAACTGTGAGATCATGACCTGAACCGAAATCAAGAGTCAGATGTTTAACTGACTGAGCCACCCAGGCGCCCCTGTATTTCTACTCTTGAGTGGTAAACATCATTCTGTATTCTTGATGAAAACAATGTTATAAGCACTCAAATAATGACTTACTTCAAAATTAAAGCTGAAAGGGAGAGCAGGACCTCAGCCTTCTGGAACAAAATTGGACCCAAATGTCTAGAACCCTTTTTCAGGAAGAAAACTAAATACATTCCTTGTTACAAATAAAAGAGTGTTGTTGCCTTTAGATGACTGGCTTTCACGCTGCAATCTGAGATCACATATTTTGATGGAAGCCAGAGCTTTAGGACAGGCAAATTTACCAGAACGACTTGTTTTTAGGGAAAAAGAGACATAGAGAAGTGGAAATGGATTTTTAGACTGTCTGCATGAAAAAAAAAAAAGGGAAAAGATTTCCAGTAAAGTTGCTCAAGTTGGAGGAAGGGGGGGAAGAGTCAGATCTGTAGATGCAGCCGCAAACCGGATCGAAGGTATGGAGTTTCCAGGAATAAGGAGCGACCTAAAGAAGTAAATTACTAATGGGGCACCTGGGTGGCTCAGTCGGTTAAGCGTCCGACTTCATCTCCGGTCATGATCTCAGGGTCCATGAGTTCGAGCCCTGCGTCAGGCTCTGTGCTGACAGCTCAGAGCCTGGAGCTTGCTTCTAATTCTGTGTCTCCCTCTCTCTCTCTGCCCTTCCCTTGCTCGTGCTCTGTCTCTCTCTATCTCAAAAATAAACATTGAAAAAAAATTTTTTTAATAAAAATAAAAAATAAACATTTCTCCAAAAGAAATACAGCAGGGGTCCATAGGCACATGAAAAGATTTTCAACACCATTAGTCTATACAGAACGGTAAATCAAAAGCCACAATTAGATAAAACTTCTTACTGGATTTTTTTTTTTAAGTTTATTTACTTATTTTGAGAGAGAGAACATGAGCAGAGGAGAGGCAGAGAGGGACAGAGAGAATCCTACGCCGGCACCCCACCATCAGCACAGAGCCCAATGCAGGGCTTACACTCACAGACCGTGAGACGGTGACCTGAGCGGAAGCCAGGAGTCAGTCACTCAACCGACTGAGCCTCCCGAGTGCCCCTTTACTGGACTACCTTTGAAGAAAATGAACACAAATCTATAGAGACAGGAAGTAGATGAAAGACTGCAGGGGTGAGGAGTGGGGCCATTGGAGAGTCCAGGTACTGGGTGAGGGTTTCTTTGGGGGTGATAAAATGTTCTAAAATTGGTTGTGCTTACTGTTAACAGCTGTGACTAGGCTAAAAACTATTGAATTGTACACTTTAAAAAGGTGAATGTTACTGTAATGTGAATTACCCCTCAATAAAACAGGAAAAAAAAAAACCCACAATAACAAGCATTAGCCAGTATGGGGAGAAATTCAAACCCTCAGACATTGTAGGTGAGACTACATAGCGGTGAAGCGACTTTGGAAAACAATTTGGCCGTCCCTCAAAAGGTTAAATATAGTTACCATACGACCCAGCAATTCCACCCGTCGGAATCTGTGCAAGAGAATTGAAAGCATATGTCCACACAGAAAGTTGGAAATGAATGTTCATCGTAGCGTTAGTCACAATAGCCTGAAAGTGGCAACGAACGGAATCAATGGATGAATGGATAAATAAAACACCGTATAGCAGCACAACAGAATATCAGCAATACACAAGAATTATGTACGGATACATGTTACAACATGGATGGACTTCGAAAGCGCTAAGCTAACGGCAAGACGTCAGTCATCACAGATGACCACATTTGTAGATTCCCATTTGTACGAAATGTTCAGCGTAGGCAAATCTATAGAGACAGAAAGTCCATCAGTGGTCATCTAGGCCTGGGAGGTGGGGGAAGGAATAATAAGAAAGTGAGCAGGGACCAGTAACGGGTACAAGATATCTTTGGAGGATGGTGAAAATGTTCTAAAATTAGCGCACGGTAATGATTGCCCAGCCCTGTAAACATATTTAAAAACATGGAACAGATGCTTTAAAACCCGTGTATTTCATGATATGTGAATTATATCTCAATGAAGCTGCTAAAAAAGAGTTGATTGTGGGCCGCCTGGGTGGCTTAGCTGGTTAAGCATCTGACTTGGGCTCGGGTCACATTCTCGAGGTTCCTGAGTTCAAGCCCCACATCTGGCTCTATGCTGATAGTGTGGAGCCTACTTGGGATTCTCTCTCCCTCTCTCTCTGCCCCTGTCCTGCTCTCTGTCTCTCTCTCTCTCTCTCAAAATAAATAAATAAACTAAAAAAAAGAAAAAAAGAAGAGAGTGCTCGGCATATGATCAATACTGAGTTTTCAGCCTCTCACCTACTTCCTTTCACCTACCTCCAACTGTGGCTTATTCCTTCCATGGACTACCTTTCTTGAATAGAATGTGTGTCCCTTGTACCTGGGGAAGAAAGATGAACATTTTCTATTTTTCTCATAAAAACCAAAAAAACTCAGTTAGCATGTTGCTTCTTCCTCTTTCGGGTGTCAGGGATTACCATTCTGAAATTTAGAACTCTAGGGGCGCCTGGGTGGCTCAGTGGGTTAAGCGTCTAACCGCAGCTCAGGTTATGGTCTCAGAGTCCGTGAGTTCGAGCCCTGTGTCACGTTCTGTGCTGACAGCTCAGAGCCTTGAGCCTGCTTCTGATTCTGTGTCTCCCTCTCTCTCTGCCCCTCCCCCCTTAATAAATAAATATTAAAAAAAATTAAATTCAGAGTCTAAAGGAAGCAATCTCTAGAGAGATAGTTGAACGATCCTGCAAGAATAGTCCAGTCACTCTTACTTTTCTGTGAGACTTTCTGACCTACATGGAGCTGAATTTGCTTGCCCTGCAAAACTTCTGCTGTCAGTGTATAAATCTCCCTAATGTAAGGATTTTTCATTCATTAAAATGGCTTCCGGTTAAACATTTTGGAATTGCTAAAAAAAAAAATTTTTTTTTTTTTTTTTTTAATCTGAATGGATCTCTACTTTCCATTTCAGGACCTCACACTCCTCCAGAGCTAAGCATAGCAAACAAAAGAACAATCTCAAAATGATTAGTGGAAAAGAGTAAGCTTTCTTTTTCCAAAGGGCTTGTTTTTTTGACTGTGCTTTTTCTTTCCTTCTTCTTCTTTTTTTTTTTTTTTTTTTTTTAAGAGGGAAATTTCCTCTCTCTGGCTCTTCAAGTGAGGTCAGAGCTTCAAAAATACCATACTGTATCATTTACTTGGACATTTTCTTAGAACAGGATTAACTTTGGGAAAGAGTTTAGGTGGTTACAAATGACTCAGAATGATAAAAGATGAGTCAGGGAGCATTGCTAAAACTGTAGCCCCTTCACTACAACCTTAGGAAGATTGGATTTTTTTCTGCAACTTGGCAACCGTAAGCGTATATTGATTAGCTTAATGGATTCCTTCTGAGTATGGTAATGAAAACACAGGCAGAATGTTCTTAGTACACCAATAAATTCTACCAGTCATTTTTTGATACTTGGAAAAA